TATATATATATATATATATATATATATATATATATGTAGTCATAGGACTACATAGTAGTCCTATATATAGGACTACATATATATATGACTATGTAGTCATAGGACTACATATATACATATACAGGACTACATACATATATATATATATATATATATAGGACTACTATGTTTTTCCTGTTATAGGAAAAAACATTTATGAAGAAAGCACAAAAATAAGTTCAAACTACTAACAATACTATAAAATTATTTAAGAAAAGAAGGAAAACAAAATTGAATTATTTCCAACAAACCTGAGGTAGATTCCGATTCTGTCTTTGTTTCAAAGATGAGTTCTGTTGACAAAGGCACTGAAAATTTCAGGTTGTGAGTTGTTTTTTCAGATATTTCTATTTCACCAGAGTTTTCTATCTGTTTAACAAAAAGATTTTTCCTTCATAAGTAAATCATATTGCTAAAACAATAAAACATACTAAAAATGTACAGCATGCAATGATACTATGTTTCTTCATCTCCTTTCATTCTACCCTTGAACTTTGTCCAGGACTCCCATTATAAGCCAATCTCCACCCCAACCAAGAAAATTCAATGTCTACCTTTTTGATTCATTTAAATTCTACCTTAGTTCTTTCTTTAGGTTTAGGGAGTGACTCTTTTTTGTTGTTTTTTGTCCACAATGATTTAACTGCTTCATAAATTTGCTGGCTTGTAGTATATGCCTTTTTCCCAGTTACCTAATTAAAACAAGAAGTGAGTCAAATAAGTTATATTTTTAAAAGGTAAAATAACAAATATTAAAAAAATTATGTCAGGTATTTTATGTGAACACTCAGGACAGAATCAATATCACAGATTTAAATCTCTAGATCATACAACACAAAGCCCCATTTTCTAAATCTTACATGAAAAATTATTTGCTTCATGTAAAAATCTAAAAAATGTATAGTTACTACATCACCAAGAGTGAATCCTAATGTAAACTCTGGACTTTGGGTGATATGTGTCAATGTAGGCTTATCAACTGCAAAAAATGTACCACTCTAGTGGGGTATGCTGATAATGGAAGATACCAAGCATGTGTGGGAACAGGGTGTGTATAGGAAATCTCTTACCTCCCCCTTAATTTTGTTATGAACCTAAAACTGCTCTTAGAAAAATACTTAAAAATGTATAGTTTGCATTCACACTGTAACATGTGAATTTAAAACTGTCTTTTTAATAGAAGCAGGAAAGATAGTTTTGAGATAATAAACACTTGACTGAGAAAATAAGATTTTAAGATGCTATGAAATTAGTGTTTTTGTTCAAATGTTTATGGTGCTTTCTCCTGTCATAAATAAAAAGCACTAATGTATTTCTCCAGAGAATAATACTCTTCTGGTAGAAACATAAAGTTAAAAATGAACTACAAACACACTGAAGAAAAGGCTGCTGATACTTTCCTTCATATCTTTTTCCCTTTAAAAATCTTCTGATTCCTTCTTTCTATTGTTTCCCCACCCTTTTTGTTCCTTATGGTTAAAGTAATTTCAATAGCTATTGATTTTTAAAGATTTAAAGAGGTTTTGGGAGATTTCCAGGATTACACTTTATATAAACATAAACTTATAAAACTTTTTAGAACTGTGACTTTCTTGCTTAGATTTTTTTTTGCTAAGTATTACCTACACTTAAGAAAAATAAATCAATCAACTAATATAAAGAAAATCCTCTTCCTCCCCCCAATGTAACATTTGTTCACAGCTGTGTGCATATTCTTCCTGAGTTTTTCCTCTTATATGTGCATTAGATACAAACACAATTTTAAGACAAATGGAATGTTGAGACGTATAGATAGATCTACCAAAAAAGATGAGGGAGATTTATATGCACCGACATGGGTTTCCATGATGAATCACTGTAGTGAAGAGATGAGAGAACAGATATACACTACAATCTCAATTATGTTTTATTTATTTATTTAATTTATTTTTTTAATATGAAATGTATTGTTAAATTGGTTTCCATACAACACCCAGTGCTCATCCCAACAGGTGCCCTCCTCAATGTCCATCACCCACCCTCCCCTCCTGCCAACCCCATCAACCCTCAGATTGTTCTCAGTTTTTAAAAGTCTCTTATGGGGACGCCTGGGTGGCGCAGTCGGTTAAGCGTCCGACTTC